AACGTTTTAATCACAGTTGTCAATTACGCGAATGAACGTTAAGTTGAATGTTGGCAATGATTATGAAAAGGTATTTGGATCCTATACCTTTTTGCTAATGTCAGTGTTCTTGCGTTTTCTGCCCCTCCCCCCCCTTGCTGCCTGGTCGTTACTCACAGGATGATTGGTCGTCTGCTCATTCTCTGTTAAGGCAGGAGTGTCTTTTGGACTAGTTTGACCAGCTGGTGTAGAAAATCTCTCAACGTATGTTGACCATTTTTCAGAAACTGTAACGCCTTCCCTTTCTCTCTCTCTACAGCCATTATCCACTGTTTCATCGCCTTCTGTATCTAACAACTCCATCGTCATTTTACAATCCTTTTTATACTGAAATAAAAAATACAACTTGAAAACTTGCGACTAAAATCTAATTATATACAGTGTTTAATGAAGCACTTATTATCAACAATTCTAACAAATTAGTTTCATTTACGACGAGGTGTATGTTAATCATGATATACGGCGTTATTGAACTATTCGCATATTTTTATTTTCTATTTACTTCATCGCGAGTTTGTGTAAGAAGAAAAATTGATAACAAAACAATATTTTAGACACCCCGTGTATTCAGAAGAAAGTAAAAGTGCGCCTACGTGATATAATTTGTCATTAATAATAATTGCTATTACAACTATTACTGTAACTATAATAAATCAAACATTTAAAAAAAAAGTTACTCACTATATATATCTTGAAACAGTTCTCATCTGCCATTGCTTTTTCTGCCTTGCGTTGATATGATAATTCAGCGCTTAATCTCATGTACGCTGTGGCGCATAGTCCGCCAGCTCCGCTATTTTCTTTAGGTTGACGTTGCTCCCTTTGGAATAAATCCATGCATTGTTGACAAACGGAATCTGAAACTAGGTGCTGCAACTGCCAGAAATATATAATTTCGCGTGCAAGCTTTTTTTTATTATGATGTCATTAAAAAAGGAACAAAATAAAATTTACTTACTTGCCTAACCGCATAATTAACGACCTTGTCAAGAGTAAAGGCAATGTAAGCATGAATACCGAACATTTCTCGCAATGTGTCTTCATACGCTGTGCTTTCCATATTTCCGTCGAGGACATTTTTAACCATATCCAGAAAGGCAGGATAATAATCTTCAATTTCAATTTCACCTGTGTCAAGTATACCGATGATAAGTGTGATTAATATACGACGCAATGCGTAATTAATTGCCAATGCAAATTGGCAATTTAAAATATGACAAATTATTTACTTTTTGGTTTCAATCTTAAAGCGACTGCTGTACTTTCTCTGCGCTGCTGTTTATACTTGGACTCCTCTTCGGCAAGAGCAACCGCCCTGTCGTACATTTTTGTTAATCTTTCACATAGTATATGATGTAACCTCAGGAAAAGGTACCAATTATTACTCCCCATGAAAAGTGTATATGCTTCCTCGGGATCACTTGAGAGAGCGTGCATTGGTACTTTGACGTCGGGTTCACTTTTACTAGTAGCGGAAGATGTACTCGGCGACGCGGGAGCCTTACTCCTATTAGCTTGCAAACCACTCAACGACGATGAAGTATTTGTTGCGGATTGAGAATTATTACACGTTGCCATGTTTACATCTTCTTTCTCATCTGTAATGAAATAAAATCAGAGTATGCATTCGAAAATATATTCGTCTTCACGGGATAACAGTTATGAGATAAAAAAGGAATCTACCGTCTTCGTCCCTTTCGTCATCGCTAAGTTCTTGTCGGGGATGGAAGAAAAGATCAGGTATAAAATGCTTTAACAAAAGCTTGATCCGTTGTTTGTCTTCCTTATGGACAGCGGTTTGCCGTTTAACATGATGGATCAAGAGATTGGCAGCATCGTCCAATACAGATTTGTCTTTGTACGATAGAACGAGATGTGGACCACTGTTCCCTTGACCGTCGCCATTACCATCGTCACCCTGTTCGTGCCTCTGTATAATGTGCCAAAACACGTTAAATAATTGCAAAACGAGAAAAGGAAAAGGTGAAAAAGGGAAAAGAGGAACCGAAGAAAAGTGAGATGGGAATTGAAATTAAAACACGTATACCAACCTCGTCGTATAATGTTTCGATTTCATTGAACAGACTTTTAGATCTCAACGCTTTTACATCATTCTGTTTGAAATTAATTCCCTGATGATCTAAAGATTTCAAGTAGTACTTCTCGTTTTGTTCTCTCCAGATTTTATTGAATCCCTTTTGCGCTTCCCGCCATTCCTCCTCCTTAGCCTTTAGTCGGCGGAGTACAACGGGCACAGCTACTACAGGATTTCTTTTGAGACCTTCTATGATGTCGGAAGCTTTATCACCGTATATCCTTTTTATTGCTCGTTGATGAATCGTAGGGGAACAACCGCCCATACACTCATCGAGTTTATATTTTTGTACCTCCTCTTGAGTCATCCGGTTCATTTTCTTATGAACGCCCTCGAGCACTCTAATTGTCGATGCGTTAGTTTCTATAACGACATCCAATTCAAAACGTTCATCCTCGCATCGATATATGGATTCTTCGTATTGTGTTTTCCTAGACAAACCAATGTGCACGTATCTCGTAATTGATATTTCAGTTGTTTTTACAACACTTATCAAATAAATTATATTATGCATGTAATAAATAGATAATTAAAAGCAAATGATAGGAAAAAAAAGATGACAAAGAAATTGAAAAAGAGTATGTTTCTCACATACACAGGTCCATAAATGAAAATGATCAATTACCTTGATGTTACAAATGTACTGTCTTCTGACCAAGTTGGAAATGAAACCCAGGTATCGTTGAGGACTTCCTTACACAATTGCGTTCTGCCACTACATTTTGGCTGAATGTACGATTTTGGTAATGCGCAATACGACGCCCCCAGTCGCTTGCACGCTGTATAATCAATTTCTATCGCCAAGTCACCTTGCGGCCGTTCTTGATGGCTGCGTACAATGCTATTTGGGAAAGTTTCTATTCCAATGGCATTTCCTGCATTTGTCACCGTAGTGCTCGACGAATCGATTAAGTAGCCCAGAAAATCTTTGAACCAACGTAATAATTCGGGAAAACGGCCGAGAAATGGCGTCACTAGCTGAATAAGCTCCGATTTCGATATTATTTCTTGATTGAAAAGCACAAGACATCGAAGAAAGTTTTCGTAGACATCTTGCGATCTGAGCGCTTTTCGAACCTAAGATAACATCATATTTATTTAAGAAAATTTGTTTGCGGAAAGTAACGTAGTTACAATGAAGAAATTATAAATGATAATAATATACTTAATGCTCACCTTATCAAAGAAAGCATAATCGTTCAAAGTACCGTATTTACCAGCTTCTGCGATAGAAATATCGCGCATCGAAGCCACTTTATGCTTTTTCGAGGGTGGTGGCCCATGTTGTATATGAGAATTTCCTGCTGTCGCTGAAGTCGAGAATGACGGACTTCTTTTCAATTGTCCTGTACTGTGTCCGCATTTCTGGCCACTACTAATATCTCTTATATTTGATCTATCCCGCTCCCGTTCTCGTTCTCTATGTTCTCGATTGTCGCGTTCCAATCCAGCCGTACTGCTAGCTTCTCGAAGATCTCTCGATATAGTACCAGAATTATTGTAAGGTGTTTTAAGTCCAATTGATTTCTTGACAATTGCCGTATGATCGTTAACTGATGTCGTCTTATTAGTCTGAAACATGGCAAGAGACTAATAGGAATCAAAATTGGTTACTTTATTCGACGAAGAAATAATTCTTTCTCACCGACAAAAAAAAATGTGAGCAAAAAGGAGAAAGAAAAAAAGAAAAGTTATGGTAATCTCTTCTTTTTTTGTCTCGTGTTTAAATACATAAGGAGATTAAGAGAATATATGTCGTAACAGATGCTCGTGTTTAAAACGCGATATTATACAACAGACTTATAATGGAAGAATATGCGATTTATAAACATCTTCCTATATTTGTACTCCCCCTTCTTTTTGTACATATATATATATATATATATATGTTCCACTACCACAGTTTAGAAAAACAACAATATATTTTCATATATATATTTCTTACAAATATTTATTTAAAAGTCTGTGTCTGTCTGTCTGTCTGTCTGTCTCTCTCTCTCTCTCTCTCTCTCTCTCTCTCTCTCTCTCTCTCTCCCTCTCCCTCTGTGCGTGCATACAACTGTACTGACTTAGATCAATTTTTTTAATGCAGAATTGCAATTCTTCATTTAAAATTTGATTTAGTCGAGATTCTATTATTTGATCGTAATAAGCGCCGACTCACCAACGAGTTTTGCTGATTGGTAGCATCCGGCAAAAATTGTCCAAACTCGGCAAGTAGATCTTCTTGATTTTCAAATAATTTAGCAACTTGACTATAAACTTCTGCCTCTGTCAAGTGTTTCGTTCCACCTGTCGCACTGGAACTTGTGCCTCCCATATGACCAGATTCTTTTAAATTTCGCTGTTCTTTCTGATACGTATGCAATATTTCTAAAAAGCGTTTGTATTTGTCTGGTTGACCTTGGAACCGATTCTAAAAATAACAATTTTATACTTTACATATGTTTGATTATTTACCATATCTTATGTCGCTCTTTCTTTCCTTGTTAATAACCTTACCTTTATTTTATTGACATAGTTTATCGCATGGTTAAATTCAACCGGCTGACTTTGTTGAGTTTGTCCACCAGTTGACACACCATCTGCTTGATTTAAAGCCTGACTGACAGCTTGCGCTTGTGCAGTGCTAACGTGCGAATTATTATACACTGATACTGGCGGCGGTGAAGGCGCGTGAACAGTTAAGCTATTGGTTGTAATACTGTTTGCCAACGTATGATGTATATTACCCGACCTGAGAACGATCAATGTAGCTATAGATATTGCATTTCCTTTTTTCATAATAATTTGTAATAATATAGACTATAGATTTAGTAAAATGCTTACCCTGGCATTATTTGCAAAACGGGAGGTGCTTTTGCAGGTTGCGTGGGTGGACTAGCTACTGGAGGTGAACCAACATTCACCGTACAATGATGCTGCGACAATGTGGCGGTATGTGTTGCTGTTGGACTGGGCATACTGACAGATACTTGGAAAGCATATCCTTGCTCATTTGCTTGTACTTCTATCTTGTAGCCGGGTGGGAGAAATGTATTGAAACCAACGATGAGTTCAGGATGTCCTTTGAAGAGGTGACTCACTCGGGTTATAACGCCCGGAGTATCTATACTTTGAGATTTGAATTCTTTCATAATATCTAAGAAATCATTGTACACCTACAAATAAAAAATTTTACGTCAATATGATGAAAAATACTAATATGTTTTTTCCTTATTTATTAACCGATATGTTTCAATAAGCTAGTCTTACGCATGCACGTATATGACTCATTTTAATCTATCACACTAAATATTTCCGTTCCCTTGCATTTTACAAGAAAATGTTTCAGACAAAAGTTGTATGGTTTCAAAGGGGCTATAAAATGGTACCATTGATTTGACCTTGGATAGTCGCTTAAAGGTCACATGAAGGTCACCTTCAATTTCTTAAATTAAATCCACTATTTTTCATTACATATTCTTGTAGATTACCTCGAGAGCTTTCCAAAACACTATAATAAAATATTTTTTCATTAAGTATTTTTCGAGTTATAAGGCTCGAAAGTTACAGTACAGCCGGCATTAGCATTACGCAAGTTGTCCGATCGACGGCTAAAACTTCTTGAATAAATGTTGTTCAGGATCATGTCCTGGATAACATTCGTTAAGATCAAGGCCATTGGTGATTGTATCTCTTATTTTCATTTTTACGTAAAAATGAAGTTTTAGTGCAAAAATGAAAATAAGACTGTAATTTTCAAGCTTTATAACTCGAAAAATACTTAATGAAAAAATATTTTATTATAGTGTTTTAGAAAGCTCTCGAGGTAAGCTACAAGAATATGTAATGAAAAATAGTGGGTTTAATTTAAGAAATTGAAGGTGACCTTCATGTGACCTTTAAGCGACTATCCAAGATCAAACCAATGGTACCATTTTATGTCCCCTTTGAAACCATACAACTTTTGTCTGAAATATTTTCTTGCCAAATGCAAGAGAACGGAAATATTTGGAGTAATAGATTAAAATGGGTCACCCTGTGTGTATATATATATATATATATATATGTGTGTAATCTTTGCACATATATATACACACAACGTATATATATGCATATACAGGATGTCCCGTAAAGACCCGAACAACGCTTAAGGCAAGATTCCTGAGATTATTTTGAGACGAAAATCCTAATACGAAAATGTCGAGACTACAATAATTTTTTGAATTATAAGCTAACTTTAAATGCTTATAAGTAAAAAACTATTTTACTTTTATAGCCTCTATTATTATTTCTGGATTCTTTTGAACATTCTAAGATGAAAATCCTAATACGAAAACATTGAGGCTATAATAGTTTTCGAATTACACACTATCTTTAACCAATTATAATTCAAAAGTTATTATAGCCTCAACATTTTGGTATTAAAATTTTCGTCTCAAAATGATCTCAGGAATCTCCTCTTAAGCGTTGTTCGGGTCTTTACGGGACACCTGTATATAATCTTTCACATTTGTACTCTTATTTCACTCATATTTAATATATTTAATTCTTTGTCGCTTACCTGTGGTTGATCACTAAATTTATATTTTACTTGATCCAGATAAGATAAAGCATCTTCTACTTTTAATCTCTGGAATTGTTGAGATCCACTTCCTCCTCCCAGATTAGAGCCGGGTGGAGTGGAAGCCAAAGGTGTTATATTACCAGAATGTACCTATAGTGATGATAGCTCTTATTTACAAACTTGTGACGATTGTCTAAGCGCACAATAGGTGTTAATGTTCGTATTTTGTACTTTTGTTCGTGCGTACATACATGAATGTGTACGTGTCATGTGATACATAAAAGAAAAAAAGTAGATGATGCACACCTTATGCCTTATTGTCGATTGCTGTTGCGCATGGACTTGATTTTGTGATCCTGATGTAGGTTGTTGGGAAGCCATTGTATGACTATTACCACCACCTATTCCACTATGCAAACCACCACCAGTACTTACGCTGCTACTGCTACATGTGGAGCTAAGTCCTCCTGCAGAGCCACTCGTCTGCTGCATATATAACATTTATTAAGTATTATTCATCTTTATCATCATCATCATCATCATCATCATCATCATCATCATCATCATCACACTTGCAGATACATATGGAATCGCGACGGGAATTTACCTTGATAGGAGATGGTGCTGCGGTTGGTACAACAATCGCTCCAGTGTATTGTTGTTGAGCTTGGGCAGGGCCAAACTGTATACTTCCTGGCATTTCTTTTGATGCAACAGACCGAACTGCTTGACCAGGTACAACAACACCTATTCCACTGCCAGCGTGGTAATCTAAATTACCTCCTCCACCACCTAAGCCACTTGCTGCACTCACCGATGAGTGCTTTGCTGGTGCTGATGCTACGTCGTCCAGTCCACGAACACGTTTCATTGCAAATCACATTGGAGCTGCTGAAAAGAAAATAATTCCAGAAAAGGTTTATTTCTTCTCCGTTTTGCAATTTAACTTACAAATCACTATTGAGAGCATTACATTCTCAGTAAATACAGGCAAAGTTTATTTATAACAAGAATTTGCGTGGCATATGGTAAATTTTCTGTTAGATGATAGATTTTTTATCTTGCGAAATTAGATTATTTCTGAATTTGAAAATGACAAGATGTAACATAATGTAGAAGTTAACAAAAATGATAATGACAACATAAAAAAATATATATGTACACACACACACACACACACACACACACACACACGCGCGCGCGCGCACGCACGCACGCACGCCGCACGCACGCACGCACACACACACACACACACACACACACACACACACACACACACACACACAACATATGCACGCACACGCACACAACACGCGCACATACAAAATACACAGACTGTTTTCCTTTGCACACATAATGCACATGATATATTTTATCCTTGTTTAAAATTCTGCAAACAATAAGAATAAAATGATACTTCATGTGCATCATGCATGCAGTAGGACACTGCCATACACACTTGTATATCCTATCCTGATATATATGATATATATCTCTGAATATTACTTGCATTTTGTATATATACAGTCATACAGTGTTGTTAATATCACTTATACATCAAAGCTTGTTGATTTCAAGGCAATCTTAAAAAGTTTAAAGCTAATGATTATGTTGAGAAAAGGTTAATTTAGATTCACATTTATATCTCTCACAAATCACACTTAATTTTGTGAATTATAAATAAACAAAGAAATATCTCGGAGTATTGAATACTGATTTGAAGTACATTTATATTCATATAAATATAGGATATAAACAATAATACATACATTACATACATTAGTAATTTTTAAAATACATACTTCAGCTATAGACATACATAGGCTGTGTTCCAAAATTTACTACCAGTACTAAAAATCTGTAGTTTATGTTACATATACTATAGATTTTGAGTACTGGCAGTAAATTTTGAAACACAGCCATCTTCATGTATGTCTTAATTTATTTAACAAATATTTTATCAGGGAAAAAATAGTAAAATCATATGGTGAAAGCCTTATCGAAATTCTTATAATAGTTTATAGATTTTCAAATGAATAGATCTGTGCGCAATTAAAGAATGTTCTGCACGAGTTTCAAAAGGCCTAGGAAAATACAACGTGTGAAAACTACATAAAGTTAGGTTATATGGAAAATCTTGGAAGTCTTTTAGGATCTTTACTCCAATTTCATTTTCAATTTCATAATCGCTTGAAATTAATTCGACGAACATATAAAGGTACATACATTTTTTATCGTAGCAGTTTGAAATTCGGCGACGTAAATGGTAATATTTTACAATGAAACTTTATCGCATATCAGAGCGACGCGCGAGACACAAGCGCGTTACAAGAATAAGTTATAAACTCGTGCTAGCTACGCGCGAGCGAGAGCGAGAGGAGGGGTGGGGAGGATTGGGGAGAGGGAGACCCGATCGAGCTCCGTTGCAGAATTGTCGACGCGGTGCCGCGTATATGTAGAAAAAGTCGCGTCGAATACACGAGGAAAATGAGGAACGAGCAGATAAACGTCCCGAACATTGCAGTGGATGTCTCTTTCTCCATACGTACCAATTTCCATCTGAAAAAAACACGTTCCGCGTTCCTATCTCCTACGTAGGTTTTGTCGTACAAGTACGACGAAGGATACGAGCGGTGATGATGACGTCGAGATCGAGATACGTCTCTCGGTTGTCGTCGTGAATAGTGCACTGGTCACCGACTCTTCTCTGACTCCTCGAAACTTTCGATCGCGTCGGTGGCCGGGTTGGATTCCTGCTTCGTATGCACGCGCGAAACT